CTTTCCTGAAGGAATCGGTGTTAAGGGCCGAATGGTGGCACCTCTCTATCAGCCATGAGAGCTGAACCAATGACCTTCTAGTCACAGGTCCGGGCTCCTAACCTGTAGAGCCACACACCTCCCCATCCTGCTCCTGTTACTGCTTCTTAACATCAGACAGTAATGGGCCTTAGTGCTATTTCTGGGTGCAGGTGTCCGATGTAATTACCCTTGTTTGTACTGCTTCTCCTGTTTCTGCACCCCTCAGGGTGTCGATCGCCTTGTGTAACTGACGTGAGAAGTTAGATGTTTACTGTTAAGGTCTGTAAAAGTCACAGGGTGCAGGCTCTGGATCTTTGTGCTTTACAGCACCTTCTCTCCCACCACAGGTGACCAGGAGCTCCTCTGAGAGCATCACCTCCGCGCCAGCTTCCAGCGCGTCAGGCTCTCCGAGCAAGGTCATTTATGTAAGTGTGCCAACATACTGCCAGTGTCCAGCAGGTGGCAGCAGAGAGGGCAGTCGAATCGTCTTATGCAGGAGAATTCTGTTTTCCACTTTTATGCATTTTACTTGACAAAACATCTGCACCGTATCGCAATAAATTAGTAATAAAATAAGCTTTGATGGATTGTTTCAAGGCATATGAATCATAGTTGGTAGGGGGCCATTTCATAAAAATCCAAATGAACCATGGTGTATCATCAAAGATTCATGGGAAATCAGAAACCTGTGCCAAAATGAAATTCTTTTTAATAGTACAAAATTAACTAATTTATCTGAAACTTTTATCCAATGCGACCTACAATAGAGGAGAGGTTAATAGAGGGTTACAATTTTTTTATTAATAGTAATATAGGAATGATGTTTGGAGGTGACTCATCAAGGTGAAAGAAGATCACGAACAAGTCAGAAATCAGAAAAGGACTGAAAGGAATCAAAGAAAGAAATCAAAGTTAAAAACTGTAAATTCAAAAACAGGGGATGGAAACGGGGTGGGTCCAGCGCAGGGAAGTCGCCCCCTTGTGGTGCCTTTCTAATTTCCCATTTATCGTGCCCTTTAGTCTCCTGCATAATTCACTGTGGAGTCACTCAAACCCAAGTCCGAGCCCACACACCGGCCCCCGCTCACCATGTTTGGTCTTTGTCTTTTGTTCCAGGCAAAACTGGGTGACGAGTTCCTCGACTACAAGGACCTGGCAGCACTGCCGAAGATCAAAGCCATCTACAACATCGACAGGCCAGACATGCTGACGTACTCGCCCTACGTCAGCTACACTGCCGACGAGCGACATCACGGAGAGGTAGGCCCCGCCCTTCCTGTCACATGACCGGGGGGTGGGAGGAGGGCGCCTGGCTTCATCTTGCTTTGGTTTGGTTAATAACGGGCACGGTATTAACCAAAGTCATTATTTCATGAATGATTTGTAATGGCTTTTTCTTTTAAATCACACCGTCACATGTTATTCCTCACCACGTGTAACTTGTCACATGACCTGCCACATTACTCATCTGCTTTTTTCCCCTTCTGCTTGCAGTCACCCCAGTTACTTTCTCCCACTTCAACGGAGGTAAAACGCAGCTGGCTTTTCTACTGTGGTCTCCCAAAAAAAGCGCCTCACACCCTCTATAGCAGCGTTTCCCAGTCTGGTCCTCGGGGACTCAAGAAAAGTCCACGTTTTTGCCAAAATACAAAAAAAATGTGGACTGTCACTGTGTCTGTCAGAGAGCTCGGAGGGAGTAAAAACATGGACTGGCTGTGGGTCCCCGAAGACCGGATTGAGAAACAATGTTCCGCAGACATCAACACACGATGTTTTCTCTGAAGGCTCAGTATGACACCCAGCTGAGGTGTCATGCATTAGTAACTGAGTGATTAGAGACAGATGCTCACCAGAAGGTGTACATTTCCACGCAGTTTATTACTGTAATTTCACTTGTACTGGACATCCATAGTCAGCACACCAGGATGGTGCCTGATCATGTGAATGCGGTTCTGCTGTTGTGTTCCTTAACATTGCCGACACTAAAATGTTCCAGCATGTCCTCCACATTACTGAAAGCTGCTATTTTCTGACCTCCCTTTCTGCGCTTGTTTCCAGGGTGACGGGGACAAGTCGCCCAGGCAGAGGAGGCCATCCAGCCCCAGCTCCAACAGCTCCCTGGGGGGGTATGGGCGCTATACCCCGTCCCGCTCGCCCCAGACCTACAGTCGTCCAGGTACCCTTCCATCTGATCCCTTGGCTGATACATTTGTTCTGTATAGATTTTTTTCCCAGAATGCACCGCGTACACTTACATGTCTGGCCTAACAGCAACATGGTGATGGTGACGCCTTTTCCTTTTTCTTGACCTGGCTTTTCCTTTCCTTTCTGTTAACTTAAGAGAAGGAATGATCACCTCAGTGAATTTTACCACAGTCTGACCTTTGACCTCACCATTGTGTCTTAGTAAAGCGACATACAGTGATGAGAAAAGCGTGCTGGGGATTATGAGTGTTACTGGCCACCTGCTAGCATATGTGTCCTGAATGGTGATAAACGCGTGACGCTCAGGCCCTGGTTAGTACTGATGGCCAAATGAAGCTTCATGAACCATTTGCTGTATTTTCTGGCCCCACTAGATGGTGCTCTCTGTTCAAAAAAGAGTTCAAAGCATGCATCAAAGCAAAGAGCACCATCTAGTGGGGTGAAAAAATATAGCATATGGTTCATGAGGCTTCATTTGGCCGTCATTACCTGTCAGCTGGTCACTACATGCTCCTTTCTCAACATGAGCGCTCTGGTCACTCTATGCCTAGAGCCATACACTGGAGGTCGCTACGTGACCATTCCAGGGAACTCCTGCTCCTTGCAACCATACTTGTCCACCGAGTGGTCCGGGCCGGTAAAGCAGGGCCCTGCCACCCTGCCGGCATGTGAAGGGGCCGGCCAAAACACCCTCCAGGCCACCTCCCTGCCGCTCACCTCCACCACGCTGGCTACGCTACAGCACAACTACGTGCCCTACTTCAAAGGTACCACCCCCTCCCCTGCCTGGGGTGTGGAGTGTGGTGAGGGACTCCTGCATGGCTTGGGGGGTGTCAGAGGAAGGGGTACGCAGTGCCCAGGCTCAGCAGGCCGCAGAATGGGCAGGATGTGGGCCTCAGTGAATCCAGTTTGTGCCCACTGGCTAATCGTGCACCCAGGATCCACCGAAGGCTGTGATTGGCTGCTGTACTGTGATGGGTGGAGCCCATAGAAACTGGGCCCCTGTAATCTGATGTAACGGGCACCTCTTGTGGCCCTGCCTAGGGTACCACTTTTGTAACCTTACTTTTTGTACTAACCACTCACAACGCCAGCATTTGCTTGCCGTCATAATGCTTAGCATGGAGTCCTCTGGTGCTGGATGAGCCCATATGGGCAGCTGGGTAGGACATTTTCACCAAACTGCAGGCTGATGGGTCAGCTCCCCTCTGGGGCTCCCCCCCCCCCGCCTCTGCAGGGCCCTGGGACACTCTTCTCTCGCAGGTGGAACCACCTCCCTATGCTTCATTCCCTCCCCCCAGGCTACAAGCAGGACCTCCTCCTGGAAATTAAGCCTAGGAGCTCGCTGCATCTCAGTTTGCCCGCTCACGGTAAAGCTCCGCCCCTCTGGATCTTATTCGTTGTTTCTGTCCCCCCTCCCCTTGGTGTCGGATGGCTAATGTGTCTGCCTGTCCGTACGCACGTGGACCGTAACTCTGCCGTGTCTCACAGTCCTTGTTGTGTGGTCGTGCATGAGAGAGCCCTCTGGTCCGTCCTCTTATAGCCGAGGCCCAGCCGATCGGTGGTGGCGCCCCCTGTGTTGCCTATGTGTCACTGACAGCCGTCAGTGAGGTGTGACCTTCGGTCTGCTGGGAGCCGACGTCTCCGCCCTCTGATTTTTTTGGGTGGGCGGGGCTTAGTGTTTTCATTCTTGGACTGTTGTGCCGTTGTCAGTAATTGGTTAATGCTGTGGAGTGCATGCCCAGTATCTGGTGTCATTTGGCCCTAACTGATTATGGTGGGAGATACTGGTTTGGCCGGCGTCCGTTGGGTGGGAGTGAGCGTAAGTGACATTAACGCAGACATTAGCCGTGTCCCTCGTGGAGATTTACGGCAGCTTTTCCAGGTGCTAAAGTGAGCCGTTCTCTGACTGGCTTCACTTCAAACGCCGGGCCCAGTGGGTGCTGGCCGGCTCCCACTGACAGCATCCAGCCCCGCTGTGGGCGGACGCGCAAACTGGACCCTGGGTCGAGCCCTAAATCAGGAGGAGCGGCTCCAAGCTGTGGAGGAAAATGAAATACTCAGCGGCAGTTTAAGGGGCTGAGATCGATTCCACCTGGGGAACTCCCTGGGGAACTCCCTGGGGAACTCCCTGGGGAAAGAGGTCACCATTTTCAATAGGAATTATTATTATTACATTTGCATTAATGCAGACCTTCACCCCATTTTATGTATATGTGTTTTTAACATGGATTCACCTTGATTATACAGCTCTTGAAAAAATTAAGACCCCAGCAAAATTTTCAGTTCCACTCATTTCTCAATTTATGGGTGTGCTTCTGTGTAAAACATACAGTTTTTTTTTTTTGGAAAACTGCAGCCTGGTTCTTCCCTGTTTCTCATCACTGAAGGGCTCCTGCTTCTAGGAGCCTGACACAAACTGTCCTAGCAGTGCACTTCACACCTACACTTAATGCTTCCCATTCCTTTTGAAGGTCACTTGATGTCATCCTGCGATTCATGATAAACTGTCGGATAAGTTGACAGTCATCTCTGGCATTAGAATGTCACATTGTTTCACAATGTTCTTGGGTACTGCTGTCTTAGAAACTCTGAGCCTGGAAGCAGCCTGCCTCACAGTGTAGCCTCTGCCAGCAGAGCCAGGATTAAACCAGGATATAAAAATACAGATTAAAATAAATATATAAGATGTCTCTTAATTTTTTCCAGAGCTATATGTGTGTTTTAACATGGACTCTCACTGTGATTGTATGTGTGTCAATGCAGACTCTCACCTCATTTTAACACACACACACATATATATATATATATATTGTATGTGTGTATTGACTGTCATGAACTGTCACCTCTATTACATATGTGTATTAAGGATGTAAATCGTTGGCAGCAAGGCGTTTCAATTACAATTATTGAGGGAATGATTCTTCGCATTAGAAATCTGTAACTTCTACCACAATTGAATTTGATTAATCGATTGTTCTGATAAACTAAATTAAGTCCTTTTTAAGTTTTTTTTTAATTTATGAAAAATTAAAATAAAAAATTAGCTTGGGAAGTTAATTATACAGTATTAATGGAATACAAAGACAGCGGAATTTTGGACCATTCATTTTTATTGTTATTATTAAACATCTCTAAGGCTAACCATGCTTTTTACTTAGCTAGCTAGCTACATCAGGGTCTTGATCATTGCTACTGTAGCTTGCAACATCAATGTAGTGCAGAGATTATTTTAACCTTTAGAGATCGTGCTCTGTACTACAAAATAGGTTTTTCCTAGTAGGGGGGGTTTCCCAAAGATGATCAGGTGGTGCTTACAGCTTTGTGCCCTCACAGCACGGGAACATAAGTAGGCATGTCTTTAAGGAGGATTCTACCCCCAAAAGTCAATTCTGACGTTACAGATCGATACAGCTGAATTTCCCCTTATATTAATTTGTTATGTACTTTATTGCTCGCACACACATATATTAGGTTTCCATATGTCTGAGGGGACCGTCCATTCATTGGGCATAACCCTAATTCTACCTGTGTTAAGCCTATACCTATCCACAACCCAGCTCTAACCTTAATCATACATAACCAAACAAAATACAGGTCTATTGGAATTTTTAGTTTTTTAATCGCAGTCACAGATTTTAATAAAACTGATTTTCCCCTTGTGGGGACCAAAAAATGGTCCCCATAACATCAAAATAACAGGTGCCTCATGGCTATCACCCCCTGTGTTTGAGGGAGGGGCTGCCCTTTGAGGCCGCTATCCCACCCCCTGTGTTTGAGGGAGGGGCTGCCCTTTGAGGCCGCTGTCCCACCCCCTGTGCTGTGCTGGCAGGGCTCCACGCCTCCGCTTGATGTCTCAGCCAATCTGCACGCTGCGCTCCGCTTGCCACACCCCTTCTGGGTGGTACACATACTTGACATGCCTACACTGTTATTCGCTGATACACCAATGATACACCAATGATACTCCAATGACCATCAGCTCACAGTTACTCTGTTTGACTTGCAGGCTTTGTTCCCTTCACACTTATATTTAGCTGTTTATGCCACAGGTCAAGGTCCCGGGGCCCAGCAGAGCCATAGGAGCTGCCCCCAGGGGCCCGTTCACCCCCCCAGGGGCCTGTTCACCCCCCCCCCCCAGGCCTGTCTGTTCCTGGGCCGGAACTCCTTTTCCTCCTCTGTTCTATGTTTGCCCGATGATTTGCATGAGCTCCAGCACCAGATATGTGTGGGAGTCCACCCCCAGCCCCCCCCCGGCATGCCGCACATGTGAAACGGTCTTTACAAAAACACTGCGAGTGTGTCTGTGTTTGTGAATGACATCATCCTCCCTCTAGGGGGAGCCAGAGCAAGTCCTACTCACTCACTGAAATAACATTCTTCTTCTCTCTTTTTTTCTGTCCTATGTTCTCTTTCTATAACAAGCTCGACTTGAATGTAGTTTATTAACTCTGGCTCGATAGGCCGTGGCTTGATAATCCAGCTGTTTCTGACTTGAGTTTCTGCAATGGCAAGCGGCCACTGGCTGCGCAAGAAAGGCGACGGCGATACGTCGTTAGGTTTTAGCTAAAACATCAAATGATCAGAGGCTCTGCTCACAGGGAGGCTGGATTACCAATGGTGAAATGTCTTACAAACAAAATGCTTTTCCCTGCCTTCCACCTTCTATCTGTTTTATCTCTCTCCTTTGCTCTCTGTCGCCCCCTGGAGGTAGTGAAAGTGGGCGGAGCACCCCCAGCTTATCTGCATATTCAGACGGCAAATCGCCCTCGTCCACATACGTGCAGGCTCCCAGACATTTCCACATACCAGGTAGGAGCTCCTGGCCTTCATCCCTCTCATACCCCTGACCGTTGCCCGGTCCGCTTTCTCCTGGGCTGCCAGTCCAGTCTGCTGGTTTATGACTCACATGCTGGCGTGACGCTGACGTGGGTGACGTCTGGGTGTGACGTTGGTAGGGCTCCGAATTCTCCTCCTCACGCTGTTTTCACCGCATAACCCCGGCCACCGCGCGTCAGGCAGGCGACGCGGAGCTCGTTCCCCCCTCTGGCTCCAGCTTTAGCCCATGCTTACCTCTCTCGCTTGGATGTGACCACCTCCTAAGACGTGTGTGTGTGGTCCCACCGAGCGGTGACATCACACCCTACCGGAACCGGCATCCCCTAAGATGTGCCTCACCGCATGGACTGGTGGGACAGAAATGGCAAAGCAAGTCATTATCTTCTTAATTTGCCATTAATTATTGTAACTTAAGGGTTTGCATGTGGTCTGCCCCCCCCCCTACCCGCCCACCACCCATGAGGGACAGTCCCTAAAAAAAACACAGTTTAAATTAACACATATGTCTTTATTTAAATGACTCATGTTTCTGAAGTGAGATTCGTGTATTCTATGGCAGTGCATCCCGAGCGCTTATGATCATGCTTTGATCCTCTGAAATCCGAGATAAATTACATTAACTCACGATGGAAATGATTTTAAGAGCTGTGCTCATCTCCAAACACTGTAACTTGCTGCTAGCAGGCTGGTTCTGCCCGATGCATGTGCTCTAGTTTTTGTCGCATGTATTCTCTCATTCTCCAGGCAAAAAAACCTGGTTGGGACAGTTTGGTTGGGAAGTGGGTGTAAAAACCATCCCTGTCTTTTAATACGCTTTTCGCTGAAAGGTGCCCGGAAGTAACGGTGATATTAATAGACAGTGGTGAGCGTGTCCCGTTTCATGGCGCTCCTGTGTCTCCTCGCCTTCTCAGAGCGGAGCCCTCCATCGCCAACGCAGGTGGACTCACTGCCTCTCATTGTTTCTGTGCCCTCCCCCCCTCTCTCTCTGCTTCTCTCGTCCATCTTCAGAAACTATGGTCAAAGATAATATCTATAGGAAACCCCCTATCTACAAACAGCATGGTACAGTCCGCTCTCCTTCTCCAGCCGTTCTCTGCACGCCGCGCCTGTCTCCGCATGCTGCCTCCATAGTCCACTTCTCCAAGAGCGACTCTGACATCCACTTCCGTTTCCTCACCCTGAGCTGTGCTTTTCCAGATCTGCCCTCGTTGACTCATGCCTAGCTGACCTTGCGGGTCAACATGTCACGCTCATAGGTTTAAAAAAATTACCCATGATCCCCACGGTACAGACCATGCTCCATCCCCTATATCCCCTATATCCATCCATCCTCTATATTTGGGCAAGAATTGCTGTAGCTCAAGTGAGGAACACGCCTTCCACTCCCTGGCCTTTGATGTGACACAGTTTGGTGACTCTGTTTGCCTGCTCTGTTTGCATCGTGTTCCTGGTCTGTGTGCGACTATTGTGCGTCTGTTGGTATGATCTGCTCGGTACTCTTTCAGTTAATCGGATTTTTTTCCCTTATCTTCTGTGGAATTTTCTTTTGAGTTTTTACTGTTATTAAAGGAGGTACAACACAATGGTGCTGTAGTAATACATTTGATTGCATTGCCCTATAATAAATGTCAAGTTTATTCTTAACGAGAACGCGATCAAAATTGGTAGTGTGATGTAAGGGAAGGTAACAGGGCTAAATCCCAGGAAGCGTATTGCTGATGTGCTCTGGGAAGCATAACTGGTATCAGCTGAATGGCTAAGTGTGTGAGTAACTAGCTCTGTGTGTTTTTAATTTGCAGAAAAAGATTCACACTTTAAAATACAATATGCCATTGGAAGTAAACATTGTTTGTATTGAAATGCATGACTTGCTAATAATTGGATAATAAGTAAATTTAGTGTGTAATTAGCGCCTGTGATGGACGTGTGCCTGGATGTCTGTAGCGTTCGCTAACATAGCAGGTCGTGACGCTGATGGTGCCCGCGGTTCCTGTGTTTCCCGTTTCAAGGTGCATGATGGGATCCTGTCTGTACTTCCTAAATGTTGGACGTAGATATGCATCACTGCATAGAGCATGGTGCTTTTGTGGTGTGGGGTGTGAAGCTCAGTAACTGTTTGCTCTGCGTTCACAGTGTCAAGGGCGTCCTGGCAAGATGGGGACGAGGTGGACAGAAAGGTGGGTTGAGGGGGGAGGATCCGCTGGCTGTGTTGTGTTTTTTTTATAAATCCTTTTATAAATCCTATGCAGATAATACAGAGCAACAGGCCCTGGGGGTAATGGGGGG